TACTCTCAGGGTACCTCTGAATTATCTAGCTTAATTTATCTAGTATCTGCAGTGACTTAGAAGAGTTATCATATACTGTTTAAAGATCAGATTCAATAGGATCTTACATCCCCATCTCCTATTGCTTTTATAGGGTGAATTCGAAAAATTCTCTCATTGGGTTGTTTGGAATAGAATTTTCTGTGGAGTAAATGACAGGAATAATATCTTTCTCCCTTTATTTTTAGGTCTTTTGCTCATTATAATTCATTTATCTCTGTTTGACATTTAATTTTGCTGGCTCCACAAAGCAAATAAGAGGCTACATTGCTGCTAGCCTCTGTCCTTTTCTTACTTTTTCATCGTTAATCTCAATTATTTTCTTTCTTTCAAGCTGCATCTCAATAAGCTTGAGTTAATCCTCTTTCATATGCTGAGGCAGATTAGATAATTAGGATTGTATCATTTAAACTTCTTCAAAGGTACGTCCAGGTGCGTTTGGCTCATCAGACATCTTGAAATATTTGACTTTTATGAAATTTTCATCAGCATCCTTAAACTAGACTCCCTTGAATTAAGTTAATTTATCGCCACTTAGTGCAGTGCTCAATTCTTACTCACTTTGCATCACCAGTTCATTATGTGGCAAGCCTCTAAGGATTGACTTTTGTTTAAGAATCTCCTTTAACTACTGCTACTTCATTAAGCTATCTATCTTTGAGGATAGAGGCTAGATGTCGTTTTGGAAAATTTGAAGCATTTAATAACGCCTAGCATTTTTCTCTTCTTATTACCTTGATGGATCATATGACATTTAGTCTTGTTCTGTATGAGTATTTTGAGATTCTGAACAGATAAGATGAGAAGTCAAGATTTTAGGTATTCCAAATAACTAAGGCGGTTTCTCTATATTTTACAAAGGATTATTAAGATGATTAGGTTCATTCATCTTCATATCTTGACTCAATTGCTACCTCAATTCATGTTAAGGGTTATGAATAGGTTAATTCTAATGATGATGAGAGTGTGTACCACTTTAAGAATGCTATTGATTATTTATGCTGCCTCCAGTTTTATTTAGCTTATACTTAACAACTAAGTCTTTTT